CTGTGGGCATTCAGACTTGCCGGCCATGACGTCACAGCATACAATAAATCCACAGCAAAAGGCAGAAATAAAATCCAAGGCTCAAAGTTAAACTTCACTATAGACAAAACTATACTATTTGAGGAAGTTGCATGAATGAGGAAGTTGCATGGTTGCGCGGCTGCTTGTCCTTGGCGCCAGGATTAGACTATTCTATTATTTTTCGAGGGGTGTTACTCGTGTGAGAAAGAATAGGCAATTAGTCAGTTTATCCAGGTAAGTATTCACGAAGTAGACTTTAAAATTTCAAATATTTAGAATTGGGACAAAACAAGGAGAAAACAATTTTTTTTTTTAAATACAAAGAGAATTTTTTATATTAAAGGGTTATGGTTTTTCTAACCAACTCCCGTTCTCCCCCAAAAACAATGCCCCTAGAACATCACATATAGATTATTCAAAGGATAAAGGCCTAGACATATTGCTTATTTTTTTGTATTTTCTTTTCAATGTGATGATTTTACAGCACACTTCATTTATTATGGTAATTTGCTCAAACCATAAAGAGGCTTTAGCAATAGGGAAGCTTTTTAAAGAGCCATACTAGGTTTTTAACTCTGTGTGTGTGTGTGTGCGTATATGATGTGCCAATATTTATGGTCATGATGTGATGTCATCATAACCATATTTGGACATGTCACATGTTTATGTCAAATAAAATCAGATAATCTATAGGGCTTTATATGAACAATTCCAGTGATATTCCTGTTAAATTTTGTTACAATTTACTTTCATTCATGTTTGACCTGGGTACAATTATTATTTGATGATCCTAAATTGTACCCCACACTCAAGGAAAGTACTAAAAAAACAAGGTCAGCTTAAGCCCACCTTGAAGCTACTTTTAAAGTCAGGCTCCGGAGGGAAAAAATTTTTTGTTATGTTGTAGAACTGATTTTTCTAAGACAGAAAAATGTTGTTTGACGAAAAACTGGGGAACGGTGAATGAGATACAGATTTTTTAATACTTAAAATCTGGGGGAAAAAAGGAACGTAACTGCCCATTTTTACACCTTATTCCCCCAGTTTTTAAATATTAAAAAATCTGTATCTCATTCACCGTTCCCCAGTTTTTCGTCAAACAATTTTTTTCTGTCTTAATAGAAAAATCAGTTCTACAACATATCAAAAATTTTTTTTCCTCCGGAGCCTGACTTTAATACCCCATTACATTAGAGATATTTTGTTTAATTGTGTTGCTATAGAAACCAACTTTGAAACTAGCAGATTTAATGTTTTTTCCATTCATACAGTATCCATTACAAATATGAATACAGCCTCGGGAATACGTGTTTATTGTTATTCATCCGGTTCTGAACTCAAGAACTTATAGAGCTTGGCATAAAATTATAGTCTTATTTGTCTTAAGGGAATACTCCACTCTGAATTCCTGTCTCTAGAAAAACCAATTTTATACTTAAATCTCATAATTTATAGTTATCAACAATAACATTATTGAAGTTCAAACTTGGTTTTACATTTGCAATAAGCCAGGATTGCAATAAGCCAGCAATAAGCCAGCAACAACATTCACCAACAATCAATAGAAAAAATAGCTGCAAAAATAGCAAAAGAAACAACAACAGAAACAATTAAATTAACAATAACATAAAAAACACAATAACAACATTTAAAATAGCATCAAAAAACAAGTATTCATTATTCATCTCTTTTTTTTGTTTTCAATGTGTTTTAATGTTTTATAGTTTTTTTCCTAACATAACTATTGACAGTAATGTTCATATTGTTATTAATCAAATAATGCAATGTTTTTTTCTTATAAATACTAATTCAATTATTCATTATTCATCTCTTGTGTTTTAATGTTATCTTTTTTTATAGTGCTCTCCTAAAATAACTACTGACAGTAATGTTTATACTATTATTAATCAAATAATGCAAAGTTTTTTCCTATTATTATTCATGATTGTGCAATTGTTTCTGTTTTGGTTTTGTAATTTTTCTCCTTAATTCTATGGGTTGCTCATTGTAATATAATTCGCAATTAAGCTTGTTGGCTGCTATGCAGTATGTTTTTAATTCTGTCCTGAATTCTGTAAATACCATAACAATAACAAAAATAAAGCAATGACAAAAATAGCAACAACAAGAATAACAAGAACAAGAAAAGCTCCAAAAACAATAACTGTTTTAACAAAAATGTTTTTAACACATGTCAATAATAATAATAAGGCCTATAACCAGGAATTTAATTTAATAGAATTAAATTAATCATACTTTTTAACTTTAATGACCATAAATTATTTTAAAAAATAGGATAAATTTACAAATAAAATTGATGAAACAGACAGTACAGCACTGCAGTATTACTAAAAAAATAATGCATGCATATAAGGTGGGAATAGGAAGAATTGAATTTGGCTGCTTTGTGATATAGAAAATCATAAAAATATAAATCTAAATGCACAGTACTATATGACCACTCACATTACAGTATAAATTTTAAATAGATCTTGAGAAGCAATTGCAAATAAAACATTTATGAACTAGGAGAAAGTGTGAAACATCAGCCTAGAGGTATTGTAGTGTCAACTCTCTCACTTCTTGACCTTCCAGAATTTTCACATTTTTTATTCACCAGGTGTAATAAATGTCACAATTTATCAGAGGGGAAAGTATATAAGCAGATGTCTTTAATAATTAACATTTGTCTCCATCATATTTTAACATAATTAAATACTACACTGTATTCCTGTGTTGTGTATTTTGTATAGTCTGGGATGCTGAAAAAAAATAAATAGCAGTGCAGGACATACACATTTTGATGCAATTTTTACATTTTCTATTCACCAGGAGTAATAAATTTTACAATTTATAAGATAGGGGAAAAGTATATAAAAAGGTGCCTTTAATAATTAAAATTTTTCTCCATCATTTTTTTAATATTAAGTAACTACTACCCTGTGGTATTACTAGTGTGTTGTGTATTTTCTATCTAGTCAGAGATGCTGAAAAACTGTACCACTACACATTTGATATTTAATTTCATCTTGAACTGCAGACTTGATTAAAAAACTCTAAAAAAAAATATTTGGTTCAACTTTAAACCAACTTGAAAATCAGTACATACAGGAGTATTAATGTTTTCTTCATTCGTATCTTCAATATAAAATACAGCCTCAGGAATGTTTAATAATACATCTGGTCCTGAACATAAGGAACTTGGCAGAAAGTCTAATTTGTCTTAAGGGAATACTGTACTCAGAATACTTGTCCCTAGACAAGCCATTTATACAAACAACATTATATCAACAATAACAATAACATTAAAAAGTTTAAACTTTGTTAAATTAGCAAAGTCAATAACTGCAACAACAGCTTACTGTTGCAGCAATAGAAATGAAAGCAGAAACAAAACAATCAATAACAAAACCAAAATCAGAATACACAAATCAATGGTGATGTTGGCAGTCTATGACTGGATACTTACCTGGATAAACCGACTAATTGCTTATTCTTTCTCCCTCGAGAAACACCCCTCAAAAGAAACACCCCTCGAAAAATAATAGAACAGTTGACTCCTGGCGCCAAGCACAAGCGGCCCCGCAACCATGCAACTTCCTCATTCTTTTTCGATACCAAAATCAGAAACAACACCACAAATCGCAATAATACTATAACAACTTCACAAAAACACAACAGAAACAGCAACAACAACTACACAGAAAGAACAACGGAACAATAAAAAAAAAAAACACAGCAAAAGAAACAAAAGCAGCAGAAACAGCAACAACAGACACAACAACAACAACAGAAACGACATCAAGAATAGAAACAATACCAACAGAAGCATCAAGAACAGCAACAACTAATCAAGTTTAATAAATTGATAAATAATTTAAAATAATTTAAATTAAAATATCATAATTGACAATTTGTTGAATCAGTCTAAATACTGAAATTGTTTAACCACTAAAAAGTGTGTCAGCTTTACAATTTAGTGTGCTTGTTTTTTAATACCATGGTGCTTGGTTAAAAATCCACACACCATCTGGTGGTGCATCCAAGTAACAAGAAAACATTTCACAAAATACTAAGAAAAGGTACCAAAAACAAATTTAAAATGATTGAAAATCAAACATTAATGAACTTCAAAATGACAGAGAAATTTAGGTGTGTTATAGAAAATAAATAAATAATTAAGAAAAAAACGATAAATATATAATGGCTTAATAATAACTAACAACTTAATGACTACAACCTTACCTAAAAACAAATTTAAAATGATTGAAAAGTAAACATTAATGCATTTCAATTGACAGAGAAATTTAAGTTTGTTATAGAAAATAAATAAATAATAATAAAAAAAGAATGATAAATATATAAATATGGCTTAATAATAACTACCAACTTAATGACTACAACCCTAACTACTAACTAACTGTGACAAAATTAAAGTAACTGAACAGTTGAATTTGTTTGGAAGGGTAATGTAGATAGGTCCAAAGATCTATCAATGCA